ACACCAAAAATTCTGCCAACTTCCAGAATACCTCTACTCCACCTCAATAACACACTGTGCAAATTTCATTGGTGGCCGACAGGGGGCTTGTCGGCTACCAATGGTGGCCGGTCGGCTGTTAGTGGTGGCCAGTCGGCCACTGATGACATGAACTTCTCTTTTTGCTACAACAGAGAGCAGACAGAGCAAAACAGTGTATTCTCACAGGATTATGTGTGTTGTTACACCTCTTATCATCAAACAGGCCCAAAGGGGTGTAACTCTTGGCTCTTAAACCATCAACCAAGCATTTTCAATGCATGATGGCTAAAGAACAAAGCTTGTACAAGCTTAATGAGTGTAAAACAAGAACCAACAAAACCACCCCCTATCATGCATGATCAAGGGTGATGGTGACCAAGGAAAATGGCACATTTCATCACTTTGAGTATGAAATGTCTCATTTTCATTGTGTTCGAATTAATGTTCGATTCGAACACATGCAATGCAACACAAAAGATGTTTATCTTGCCTCTTTTACTTTGTTCATTTTGCTTACTCATTTTAGATTACCAATCCATTCTTTAATTAATTAGTCCAAATGGTGAATTGTCCTCTAATGGAAAGTGGGCTTAAACCACAAGTGCCTTGGGATGAAAGAGACCTCATGCTGTTAATAATGAACCCCCGAAGGGATTAAACCATTAAGCATGAATGTCTTAATTTCACACTTTAAAACCACTTTCAAAGCAAACGAAAAAGTGAAGAATAGAGGGAGATTGCAGAGATTTCAGTGCTGAAATGGAGTGCAAAACAACACTAAAACATGCTTTCAACTCAAAAGAATGATGATCAAAGCATTAAAATACTAGGTTAGTGAAGGAATTAACACTACAACTATGCCATACAAGGCTCAAAGGACTTAACCAGCCTAAAACAAAGCTAAAACAAGTCAAAACAGTAGCAAAAACACGCTGGACCAAAGCTAAGTGAGGCTATAAAAACATGCTAACATGTAACGCAACTAGGCATGCAAGCAAGACAACAAGGAGGGGAGGCTAACCCCTCCAATTTTGGACTTCAAAAGAAGGTTTTTGTCACTGAAAAAACTCTAACTTTTAGTGGTAAAAAGGGCCAAAAAATTTGATTTGAAGGTGGTAAAAAATGGTGCAAAAAGCTTCACAAGCTAAGGAGCAAAAATGAGGGACAACCCCCTAACTCATAAAGGCTCAAACCACCACTTTTATACCTCAAAAACAGAGTTTTGTACACCTCAAAAACGACCTTAAAACAGTTGAAAAATATGGCAAAGCAAGTATGCATGATAAGCTTAAGTGAAGTAAGTTCTATACCTTTGAAGCAAAGTACAATTCAGCCACAAATTCAAGCTCAAAACCCCTTCCAAGGCTCAAACAAAACTCCAAGGGATCTCAGCTCAAAGGTGAGAGTGTTTGATCAAGGGTCTATGTGCAAAAGTGTAGAAAATGCAGCTCAAAGGTTTAAGCTTGAATACATCCTACCATACACGTGTATGAAGATGCAGCTCTGTGAGCAACAGCTGGCACAGCTGGCAACAAATATCCAGAAATATCTAGAAAAAGAGACTAGTGGCCGTCGGCCATCACTGGTGGCCGACCGGCCACACACATGGCCAACAGAAGCCTCCCATGGCCGACAGCCTTCAGGGGTGGCCGACAGATCACCAACAAGTCCAGACATCAAGTTTTGGTCCAAAACAAGGTAGAGAAAAACAAGGTTCAAAGGCTCAAAGATAGGGCATTCCGCCGAGGACTTCGGGTGCTCAAAATGAACACAAACAAGCACAATCATCGCAAGCACAAACGATGACGTATATGTCTTGAGGACGGTCAAAAATTAGGTGTCTACACTAATAAAATAATTACATAAATCTCAAAAACCAAAAAAGTAATGGTAGAAAAACTTCAAATTGCAAGTGTTCTAGGGTCTTGGCAATTCCTTGCCATCACTGTCTTCTAGCCGATATGCTCCATTGCCAGCAACCGAGATGATGCGATATGGTCTTTCCCAGTTTGGGCCAAGCTTGCTCTCCCTGGGATCCTTCTTATTGTCAGCAACCTTCCTTAGGATGAGGTCTCCAACCTTGAACTCCCTTGGGTTGACCTTCTTGTTGTAAGCCTTAGCAAGCTGCTGCTGGTATACCCCTAGTCGAATTGCTGCTCTCTCTCTTCTTTCTTCCAAAAGATCCAGATCTTGATATAAAGCAACAGTTTTAGTGAAAGTGGTGTATAATTTCTATTTATACATAACAATAGTTAATCGTCACACACTTAATTCAAAATATTACTAACATGATTTATAAAACATAGTTCATAGAACATTACACATACTATTCACAAAACACCGGTTTTATTTATGCATAGTGGTGTTGGCACATGACTCGTTCCTATGAGTTAACAATTATGTCTAGTTAGTGTCTAATCCCCCTATAGCAAAATGGATTAGAACTAGGCCATGATTAGCTCACTATACCTCAAAAAGAACAAGAAAACACACACAAAAAAAACTTTACTCTCGGGATCTAGTTCAAAAATGACCACGGGAACTGCAGCTGCATGTGGTGCTCAAATTCCTAACCATTGAGCTTAATACCAAAACATAACCAAACTACCTCTAACTAGTAGATGGGAATGCTTGCCTTGTAACCCTATAATCAGCGTCATGTGATGCGCACCGACACCTCCATATATGTCATAAGATCCTCAAAATCAACTGTTTGGATATCAATAATATTTTTAGGGGGAGGGATTCTTGCTTGCAGGTGGTCACTTAAGAAAGCATTCCATTTTTAGGCCATAAACTCCGAGGGCAAGGGTGTTACCAAGAAGCGGAGGTATCCTAGGCCCTAAGGTCATGCTTACCAATTTCGTTGGTCCGATAAATCTGTCTAATGTACTGTCGCCACCAGTCCTCCATTAAAGTAGTTCCACCTCTGTTGGAACCACCCACAGGTAGGCCTGTCAACGGGTCAGATCCAGGTTAAATCTATCGAAATCCAATCCGATCCGATTAACTATTAATCCGAATCCGAATCCGAGTCCGATTATTAAAAATCCGATTACTTGCAATCAGATCTGATCCGTGTTAAACAGATATTCGATTCGTATAATCTAATCCGATCTGATTTTTTTTCCCTCTCTTTCTCTCCTCTCTCTCTGGTTAGCAACCATAGGCCCTACCAGTAGTAGCAAAATGATACATAATGAGAAACCCAATAAAAAAAATTACATGAAAAGTTATAATATCATAAACAATTGTCATTTTTATAAGCCTGAAATTTAAAAATAAAATTTAAAGTTAAAGCATATTACTCCAATCCAATACCAAGGATTTGCTGAACATTACTCCAATCAGGCTTACGCCACAAATGTAAAGGACATTAAGGTCCTGTCCATCCCAGATCACAACACTGATATTTCTTTCTCAAACAGACATCTCTTTATATATATATAGAAAGGCATTTCAAGGTTAAATGAAAATTTATATTAAGAAATAATAAATAAAAGAAGTATAGGGATCTAACATTGCCATTTTCCTTCAAGGTTTCATTAGTTTCATCCACCTGTAATATCACAATAAACACATGCATAACAAAATGTCCATATGGTTATATACAAATAAAAAAACAATGTCTGATATACAAACAATTTGACCCTCTTCACATACAAACAAATATACATTAAATTTTGATCCTATAAGATTTTGACATCAAGTTCACTAAGCACAAAAGCCACCTGGATTAGATATAGCACAAAAACATTCTCAAAAGCCACCTGGATTAGATATCCCATCACCTAACACAAAGTCACACAAAAGCCCAAAGTAAAGCCAAACCCAAAATGATCTGATATACAATGCATAACATCTCTGAAGACAAGAAAGTTAAACATTCTCAAAGTGAATTGTTAGGTACAAAAGACCTGCAGCTGCTGTGATATATAACATCGTTGTTACCGCACTATAACGTCTACTCTTACAGAAAGCTTATGCAACCATTTAAACTTTTCGGAATTGAAAAAACATTAAAACTCTTTTCAAAGTTGCTACATCTACCAAAAAACAGTATATCCAGTTTGAAGCAGGAACAATCTTCCAACCAGATCACTCAGATTCATAGATTCTGGAATACAAGGAAAACCATGAAGCTTGTATCCAAGAATTTGCTATTAGGAGGCAGTAGTCCTTGTCGATCTTTGTGGTTCAAATTCGTCAATGCATCCCAAAAGCTTCAAAGATAACCAACGACAGGCAAGATTCTGTGAACTTAAAGAGCATCATAATGACGTAAACATTCAAAGGTAGAAAACAAATTATCAATTAGAGATGTTATAAAAGTGCATATAAACAATTTAACCACATTTCCAAGAAGAAAAGTTATGTAACCACATTTCACCACAAGCAGTTGTAGTAAGAGAGTGAGCAAATAAATTGTATAGAGGAGAGATAATTAAAGCTATATACTCAAGATTCTTCCAAGTCAATAACTTTAATAGCAGCCACTTTGTTAAGCTCATTATCAAACCTGCAAATCAAGAAAGCCATTACCTTAATATGCAAATAGATTATCAAATTATGTCAGATACGAATTTCATAGATCACTATAAAGGCATGGGACAAGCCCCATAATCTGAACCATATTTACCCATCTACTTCAAGTGATTCAATTCAATCCATCTACTCATGTCAGCATTCTTCTACATCTGCAATTTCAAAATAATGTGACATTAAGATATTTATAGAACTAAACTAAATAACATCTAATTATTTAAAAACTTCAATATTTGACTTACTTCTATTTTTGGTTGATTCAATCCAATCATTGCAAGTGATCAAGGCCTCCACAATATCTGGAAGTAATAAAGCACGTGTCTCATCAATCACCTTACCTCCTACACTAAACGCCGCCTCTGATGCAACCGTAGTAGCAGGAACACTTAAAACATCACGAGCCATCCTTGCCAAAGTAGGAAATTTTGCTTTATTCACTTTCCACCACTGTAGAATATTGAAACTCTTATTTCTTGGAAACACCAACTCCTCCAAGTATTGCTCCACCTCTGATTTTTGATAGGCATGAATATTAGAAGCACGTTCTTGGGCATACCAAGCATGAAAAGCAGCCAAACTTTCTTGTTTCGAAGAACCGACAAGCAATTGACTACTACTTAAGCTACTATTTTCAGAAACAAGTGCAATGCTACTCATAGAATCAAAAGAATCACTCCTATACTCATAAAAAAGATCAACAAAACCATTACGGACCCTCTGGATATGCTTATTAGCATCAGCACCATAAACAAGCCCAAAGTAATATTCCACCAAGTCCATTTTAAATCTCTGATCAAGAACCACTGCAATTGCTAACACCAAAGAACATTCTTCCCAATATTTTTGAAATTTCACTCTCATTGGACTAGCCATCAATTGAATGCAATCATACTCACTTTGCTCCCATTTTTTCATTTCATGTTGAATAAGACAAATATCGGGAAAAAACGCATTTGAAGTAGGAAAAGTGGTACCACTAAAGTGAGATGTAGCATCAAAAAAACTCTTCAAGCACCCACAAATCACATTTGCTACATTCCACTCATCCTCAGAAGGATTGTGCTTATATTGTTTGCTAATTTGCTCTAAACGGTGGAATGCAGTTTTCAAATCTAATACAGCTTCAAGCATTGAATAAGTGGAGTTCCATCTGGTAGGAACATCCATGGGGACTTTCTTTTTATGATGTAACTTAACATGACTCACTACAACATCAAATTTTTGTTTTCCATAAGGAGACCTCCCCAAATATCTCACACTTTCTCAGATTTTTGAAATAAGACTCCCAATCACCTTCAAACCATCTTGAACAACTAAGTTCAATATGTGCGCGCTACAACGCACATGAAACAATTGTCCACCCAAATGTAGTAATCCTTGGTCATGTAGCCATCGCTTTAAGAGTCTTACCATGACATCATTACTCGTCGCATTATCAACTACCATTGAAAACAACTTCTTATCTATGTTCCACTCTAAAATTAGATCTTTGATAAAGCTAAGCAAATGGTCTCCATCATGTGGGTAATCAATGCGTCTATAAGAAAGGATTTTCTTCTTTAACTTCCAATCATTAGTCACATAATGGGCAGTCAAACATGTATAGGCAAAATTCTGATGGTCTGAAGTCCATATATCAGTTGTCAAGGTGATCTTAGAAGAGAGTTCATCCAAAATTTGATATAACTTGGTCTTTTCTATTTCATAAACATCAAGGACATCCACTCTAACAGTGTTACGAGACACAAGTTTGAACATTGGTTGAAGATTATTGCAAAATATTTAAAAAAACTCATGCTCAGCCACGTTAAAAGGATAATTATGCTTGATTATCATCCTAGAAAAATCCATACGACTTCTCTCTTGATCGAATTTAAAAGTTGCAGCCTTAGGAGTAGATTCAGAAGCAGCCTTACTAGCATTCCTAGGGGCATTTGGCCCTTTAAGTACTGGACATGTCTTCGACAAATGATTTTTTAAATGACTAGTCCCTTTCCTACTCTCTCCAACAAATTCCCTATTGCAATGCTTACATCTAGCTATGTCATTTCCACTAGGTCCTTTAAATTTGACAAAGTCATCCCATACCTTCGAAGTTAGTTTTTGAATCCTCTTTGTGGGTCCTTGAGATACATCATCATCCAACTCGACATCATCAGGAATAATAGGTTCGTTATAATCCGAAGACATCTTTGGCTCAAAAACTCAAATATGCACTGCACAAGGAATCAAATATAAAGGAGCAGGAGTTCATTTAAAAACAGTGTGCACCAATTTGGAAATTATATAGATTTGTGTGCATATGATCAATCTACTGTAAAGGCATGTGGAATTCATTTAAAAACAACAAAACTGATAAGCAGCTATCCCATTACCAATTTGGAGATTCAATGTATAATAATGCAAGTGTTGGCATGCATAAATAACATCATAAATTGTGGAAAAAATATAACAATGCAATTAAAATATAGCAATGACAACCATAGTATAATGCACCAACCATAATAGATATATAATTAGTGGAAGATATATAAGATGGTGGGGTTCTAAAGATGCATGTACTACAAGGGAATTTAAACCAACATCCTATCATTGAGACCCACAATTTCCAAAACCTATGGACACCAGTCATCTTAATTCAATAATTTTACAGATACAAAATAATTAATAACAAAATTGACCATTGAAACATAGTTAAAAATACAAAGATAGACCAGACCCATAAATCTAACACAGAAGAGAAATTTCAGAATGAAAGTATAGATTATAATAACAATTTTTATCGAGATAAAAAGTGAAAATTAAGATAAAAATTTATATAGATAAACACATTTTCTTGTCTCCACATTGAGTTGAAAAATATAGCAACTGTAATCTATAATAGAATTAACATTCACCTGTCCTGCTATGTAGCAATTCTCCTTCCTCATATCCTGAGTTGACTAGATATAAACTGCTATGTAGTAAGGCTGTGTTTGGGTCATGGAATTGGGGTAATGATTTGAAAATGGAAAGGAAAATATGAGGGAAATAGTGGAAAAAACACAGCCTAATAGACAAAAAATACCAAGTTGAAACAGCTTAAATAAATCAACCGACCCCCTGATTCAAAACTGATAACAAATATATGATATTACATTCAAACAAACAACCCAAAGTACCCATCAAATAACAAATATATAGAGTCCCAAAAACATCCAAGAAAATGTTTCAGAATTGATTTTCCATTCAAACAAACAACCCAGACCTCTTATATAAAGGAGAAACACAAGCACAAGGCAGTAAAAAGTAGATACAATGACAAACACAAACGGATCAGAGAGCTCACCGAAGAATACTTGGATCAGAGAAGTCGGAGAAGAAGATGATGAAAGATAGATTTGATATTAACCAGAGAGCTCACCGAAGAATACCTAGATCAGAAATGGCACAGAGCTTGATTTGGCAAAGTTCATTGTCGTCAATCGGAGTAAGAAGAGACGATTAGAGAGAGATTTGATTATGAGAGAGATCTAGGTATTCTTTGATGAGAAATGATGAAAGAGACGATGATAGAGATTTGATTCTGAGAGATCTGATTTGGTTTCTAGGAATTCAATCGGATTAGGCAAACAAATGGGCTGGATCAGATTTATCCGAATTCGAACCGTTTTAAATCGGGCTATGCAGATTCGGATTAAACAGATTTTCGGATTCGGATATGTATAAATGGATCGGGTTAATCGGATCGGATTCAAATCAGATTCGGGTTATACCCGATCCGTTGACAGGCCTACCCACAGGTAAACCGGTCTACCCATCAGCTAGTTAAGGGTCGAGTTCGCATGTCTAACTAAACTCCGGTGGATCCGGCCCATACCAAAGAGAGTCACCAAAATTGAGTTTCGATATTTCCTGCACCATAGGATACCCAAACTCAATAATGCAACGAATAAGAAACTATACCCATAATGGCTAATGCATCCTAACAACTAAAAATTTTCCTTACCCTATTGTCTAATAGTACGCATGTCCTATTTATTTTATTTTATTTTAGTCTATATATATTTATTTTATTTTTTAATCATTGCTCTAATACCACTTTTGTCACGACCCAACCCCGATGCTTGGGCTGGATTCGCAACTTGCTAGATTTTAAGCTACCAAGGTTTTAATTTTAGATTTAACAAATTAAATAATGCAGCAGGATAAAATAAATATAAAAAAAAAAGTGCATATAAATGTCTAAGGCATACATGAGAACTTTTATTGATGTAAAATGAGCCTAATTACAAGTAAACACCGAAAAAAAGAAGAGGAAAAAAAAATATTCAACTCAAGTCGAGGTCTCGGTTTAAGGGGTAAAACAATTCCCCCGTAGGTTTCTTCACTTGAAAAAGGGTTTAACAGTTATAAGCACATGACAAAGTGATGAATATTGTACTAAGAGTATAAAGGTACACAAATCACCATGGATAATTATTTAGGTTAAATAGTGAAATAGTTTTGTTTGAATAAATCAATTATTTTAAATAACAGACATATAATATAGAAATCATATAAGCAAAATAACCATAACCACGGTACATAGCAGAACAGAGGGTCAATGGATGCGTAACAGACAGAGGGTCACAAAGTGATTAATTAGAGGGCCAATGGTTGTTTAAGTCTCCCAAGGCGTGGGATCGTTAGAGAGTTGCTAAAGTGACTAATCAGAGAGCCAATGATTATTTAAGTCCCTCAAGGCATGGGACCTCTGTGGTGATACTTACAAAATAATTATTCCAAAACACATTTAACAAACAGTTATATCCTTGAGTTTCTATTTTAAGTGAATAGGGTTCATAATATAAATGACATAATTGTGACGCTAATTTTTTTTTTAAAAAACATGATTTACATAAAATAATAAAAAAAATTTATGATTACTCAAGGTATAATATAACTCACCTTAATATTGAATCTCCCTTTCTTCTTTTTTTCTTTTTTTTTCCTTCCCGTTTTTCATTTCCCTTTTTTTCACTTACCAACTTTCTTCCTTTTTTGTTTTTGCTCTGGTTGCCAACGCTTACTACACTATTTATACTCGAGCTCATCACCGGTGTGTCATCTATAAATTCCACGTGGTTTCTCAATCAATTTGCCATCTTTTTTATTAGAGTAATGCTAAAAATTCTACCAAAATTTTTACCAAATGTCTTATATGGGTGTGGGACCTATACAATGTGGGTCCCATGTGGGTCCCACACCTATGAGAGACATTTGGTAAAAACATTTTATAGAATTTTGAGATCTCTAGCATTTTTGCGTACAACCTGAGCTACTACCTATGGTCTAGGTGCTTGCATAATTTAACGGGAAATTCTATTTCCACACACAACTTCCTCTCTTTCCGCATCTTTTCTCAATACACACACTAAATAAATTTAAATTATAAACTTTCACTTAATACACATCCTACCATACCAAAAATTCCCTTACCATCTTCATCCTCCAATCCCTAATCCTAACAAGCCACCGCCGCTGTTGCCGCCGCCACCGCCACCGCTGGCGGCACCTCTGCTTTCTTGCAAAACTGAAATTCAAGTTGGTTACATACACCAGACAAGAAAAGACTCTTCAAAATTGTGTGGGAGTTAGTTGAGTTTCCAGATATTGAATACAAAACACCACAAACTCGTCTAATATTCTCTATCTATCTATCACTACACCACCATACATATACATTCGTCATGGCTTCAACAGACCTCAGTCTCTCTTGCTTTCCTTCATTTCACTCTCCTCCATTGCTGCATTCAACAATTCTTCTTACTCTACTTTCATTTTCTTCCGAAAAATTACCTGTATTGTGACAATTTTCTTTTTTTATTTTTATTTTTTTAGTGCTTCTCTACTGGGTCTGGGATTGAGTTTTTTAGTACTGGGGGACTTCTTGAATGGGTTGGGAAGAAATAAACTGAGCTTGGGACTTTATTTCAAATTCAAGGTACCGTGTTTTAACTTGCATTTGCAACATAAAGAAAATGAGAGTAACCTTTTGTTTGAAAAAGTAAAAATACAAAATCTCAAATGGTGTCCAAAAATTGGCCCCTGTTTTTGCCCCTGCTTTCATGTTGGTTTATTTATTTTCAGCAATTAATTCAATCTGTAACAGTAGAGCAAGAATGCAGGACAGAAAGAGATTCATG